AAAATATTCATGGTGATCAGGGGGTACCAGGAAAAAGTGCTGATAAGTTTACTGGTGTCTTTGGAGGTTTCACTGAGGCCATCTTTCATGCAGACATTTACTGAATTTGCTCAGTGTCTGGCTTGCTTTAGGGGTTGTGGGCAAATATAAAGATGTGTAGGCCTTGGTCTCTTACCCAGTTCTAAAAAGAAAGATAAGGTCCACAAATAACTACAATTCAAGCTCCAGTTCCAGTGTGGAAGGTGGCCATGCTTATCTTCCCCCAGCACATGTACAACAGTCCTTACTCTAAGCAAAGCAGGAGACACCACAGCCCTTGTGGAGGGAGGACTGGGTTGGCCAGGGCCCCGGCTCAGGGCCTGGCTGTTTCGCCAGTGCACACTGTGACTGGAGAAGGCAGGCTTGCTGGACTGGCACTGCCAGCCTGGTGAGAGAAGAGTGACGTGGAGGAGGAGCACAAGCTGCCCAGGGCCTTGGCTTGCTTCTGGTGTGACATGCTGCATGGATTACTTCTCAGCCCACCAGGATCTGAAGCTATCCCTTTAGAGCAGCTGTTACTACCGTTAAGGTCCTAGGAGGATTCGGGTAGGCTTATTTCCTTTTTTTATAAAGTTTCTGAACTCAAAATAAGAAGGTTTCTGGGAATGCATCTGAATTTTCACAAGGCTTCTGACAGGGTGTCTCATGATATGCTTGAGAGCAGTATGGGGAAATGTGGAATCCATATTAGTACAGTTACTTGGCTGAAAAGCTGTGTCATAATATTGTTCATTCATTCAACAGGTATTTATTGAGCCAGGCATTGCGCTAAGTGCTGGGAATACAATTACGAGCAAAACCAGAAACAACTCCTCTTTACAAGATTGCTTACTGTTAAGTAGAGGAAACAAGATAATGATGAACTAATCACACAAATAAATGTAAAATTATCATGGTGACAAGTGCTACAAAGGAGGGGTTCCTGGTACTTTGAGAGCCTATACTATGACTAGTCTAAACGGAGATTTGGAGAACAATGTGGTAGATTAAAGGTGGACACATACTTTTTGCTACTCCTCCCATGTAAAGGAAGTTAATCTCTCCTTGAATCTGGCCTAGCCTCACAGACTTGTTTGACCTAAAGAATGCATAGAAAGGAGGTTTGGGACTTCTGAGGCTACATCATAAGAAGCCTTGCAGCTCCTGTCTTTCGTGGAATACTCTTTCTGGGCCTTTGAGCTACCGTATAAGATATTCCACTGAGATCATGCTGGAGAGGCCATGTGCAGGGGTTTGGGTCAATAGCTCCCACTGAGCCCAACTTTCCAGCCATCTCTACCAAGTCGCCAGGCAAATGTGAATAAAATCTTGGATTCTCTAAATCAGAGGTCAGCAAGCTGCAGCCTGCAGACAGAATCTAGCACCACATGGCTAGAATCCATGACACCACATGGAATCAATATAAAAATGATTAACAAATATTTTTCATTCTTTTTCTCTGTATTAAACATTCAAACTCTTGTGGGTATGTTATACTTACAGCTCAATTAAGACAAGCTACACTTCAAGTGATCAGTAGCCACATGTGGCTAGTGGCTACTGAATTGGACGGTGCTTAATGCCACCAAGTGACCTTAATCGATGCCAAGAGCAACAGAAAAATCACTTAGAAGCCTGCTCAAATTTCTGACCCACAACATTGTGTGTGTGAGAGAGTAAAATATTCATTGTGTTAAGCTGCTAAATTTGGGAGCAATCTGTAATGCACCAGTAGGTAAGCAGAACAGATTGAATAGGTTCAAAGTAGGTGTAGGGTTGGGGGTGGCTTGGGAGGATTCTAGGCAAAGGAAACAGCATGTGCAAATGCACTGACGCAGAGGGCTGATGTGCTAACGTGACTAGAGAGGTGGGAGACAAGGCTGGAGAGGTTAGCAAGAGCCAGACCATGCCTACTTTATGGGTCAGTAAAGAATTTTGGTCTTTATTCTGAGAGCAATGTGAAAACTGAAGAAATTGAAGCAGAGGAGTGACATAACCAGGTTTGCATGTTGAAAAAAATGACACTGGCTGCTGTGCAGCAAATGGCTAGTGGGGAAGCCAACACAGATGCCAGAAGGTCAATCAGTTGGCTGTTGCCGTCATTTAAGTGAAAGAAGACGGCCATTTGGTCGAAGATGGTAGTGGCAGAAGTAGAAAGAAATGAGTGTGAGTGAGGCCTTGATGAAAACATGAACACTTCGCGTTGTCTGGTGGACACATGAGATGATTGGCTATTGGATACGTTGTCACCCGTCCTGAGCTCCGCTTTACTTGAGCTCCCCCACCAGCCACGTCTAACTCAGGCTGGATCATATGTCTGACTTGGTTTCCAATCCCTTCTTGGAACAAACTCCCCGGGGCCTCCATTTGTGGAGACTTTTCTTACCTAACAATGCCTTCCTTCCATTAGCTGTCCTTTCCCTCATCCATTTGGGAGCACAGTGTTTCCTCACAGATATGAGAGGAACGGCATCAAAGGTGCATAGGTGCATAGGTACAAACAAGAAACGTGTATGCAGATTCTTATGGAGCAGAGGATGCTTTTATTCACTCCCTGGTATTGTAGGTACTACAATTAACTAGAGTATTAAAATTAAGAGTTGATTCTCCTTACTCGCCTAGAAGAAGGAGCACAGCATGGCAGTAGCATTTAGCTTTTCCTGTCTTTCCACGGCAAGTCCGTATACAGACAGATACCCATTTCTCCTAGTCACATCTAGGATCTGATCTTTCCGAGTCAAGCAGCATGCCTTTTTCAAATTACTAATGATTTTAGAAAACATTTCTTCCATTTTTCCAAAAGGTACCTATGGGTAAGCATCATGCAACATTTCACAGGTACTCTTGAGTCTGTGCACATCCAGCCAAGGGTCTGCCTGCTGTGACTAAAACCCACAGAACTCACTAGGCAGCCAGGCCAATCCTGGCCCCCTAAGAGAGCCCCTTCCTGTTTTCTCATAATTAGAATCATGGTCAAAGAGAGAAAGCCAATATTTCCAGGTCACAATTTGAGGGGTGTTCCCCATCTCCCCATTTCAAGTATCAGCCCTCCTCTGGTGCTTGGAATTCCCAAATTACTCATTCCTTGGTTAAGGTATTTTTGAAAGCCCCTGTTAAAATGCAAATGCTAGCTGGAAGGAAGACATGTTTCTTGTCTTTAGCCATTAAATGTTAAGTTCAAGTTAATTTAATTTATCTAATTAGGAAATGGAGTTCAGAAAGGAAAGGAGGGAAAAGAACATGGAATGGGACCTTTTTCATCCCGACAGGGATGGAAGACATGTTTTTCTTCCTTAACACATATGCAAAAGGGCATCTATTTCCCAAACCTCAACCTGAGTATACGCTGATGTATAGTTCAGAAATAAGTTTCTATATTAGATTAGAAATGAGGATGAGGATAAGGGTCCAATAAAGGCTGTGTGCCCAGTCTATGGCCGTATCCATCCTTCCTGCCTCCCAAATACTCTTATCTGCCGAACCATGAAAAGTGAATTGTCAACACTTGCCTGGACTTTGGATAATCACCCAGGAACCTCCCCACCACCCCCTTTGCTTGTTTCAGACATGTTTTGCTCTAGTTCTATCTCTTCACAGCTTCAATCTCCTGGCCCAGAGACCCCTAAACTCAACTCCCACCTCTATACAATATTTGAAACATGGTATTTGAACCTTGATTTTCTCCTAAAGAATCTGGTTTGACTCACCTTTCATATTTCTGCTCACATCACCCTACCCTGCCCTGCCTCATCTCCATAAAATCCAACCTTCACCTCCACCAAAAATGGACATCGGACATCCAGGGATACCACAGGAACCAAAAAATCAAGCTCAAAGACATAGTTATTAAACAGGGCACACCATCACAAAGAATCATTTCCTTCCCTTCAAAGTACTGTTGCTATACAGTTATTTTTACTGTGTCTATTTTCTCACTGGACTAGAAGCTTCAAGTGTATAGGGATCATGTCTTTTATGCTCCCTGTTAAAAACCCAGTACCTGGGACATAGTAAGCACTCAATAAATATATTTAGAACACACAAATGAACAGAGATTGATAAAAGCTTCCATTATACACAGGATAGCTAATATAAATAGCAAGAATGGTATCTGCAGCAGCAAACAGAAGACATAACAATAGAACTATGAACTTGTGCACAGAATTAAATGGACTCATTTTTAGTCCAGAGGCTTAATCCCAAGATTGAGACTGCATGTCAGAGAAATAGGTCACCTCCTTAGTTATAACAATTTGAGAGGAGTGGGAAGTTCCCTTGGCCAAAAATTATTTTCACCTGTCTCTCCAGAACCTTAAATAACTATGAGTGGAGGCACTATTTTAAGCCTATTTGCAAATGCAAATATGTTCATGGTATACAGAACACAGTAAACCACCGCTTGGGCTCTTTTTTGACCTAAGATTATTTCTTTTCAAATGAGCTATTGGGGTCTCTGGTGCCAAGAGGAGCCAATATTGGGATGGGAAGAAGAAATGGGGACAGTTTTCTGGACCAGAGAAAGGAAAAGCCAAAGAAGAAAGCAGAGACTACTGCAGAGGCTGTGTGTTTTGCTCCCATCCTCTGCCTCCCACGGCACAAGGGGCCCAGGCAGGGCCAAGATCCTTGTATAGCTGCTTCTCCTGGAGCAGAGCTACTTGAAGCCCCCAGCACTCTAAGGTCAAGAAAGGTTGTTGGTTGTTTGGTAAGTGGCGCCTTCTGTTTCCTGCCTGTTCTGTCCCTTAGCTCATGAAAAAAGCAGAGAAAGAGATCTGGCTAAAAGAGACATGTTTTTGTAATGCCCTACCTCGAACGTAGGCAGCCTGAGAATCAAACATTGATGGTCAAAGGTTTTAAGAATGTACTCCACACTCCTCCTTACCCACTCCCTTGCCGGCCGTCAGCCCCACCTCTGAACATCTGCCCCAGAGGCAGCTTTATCCCACATCACGCTCCCCAGGCATACGAGCTTCATGAGAACATACCTGTCACAAATGCCCATCCACCGCAGCTCCCAGGGACCAAAGATATAAGCCTCGTGGCATTCCCGAGAACACAGAAGCAAGGGTTTAAGAATAAATGAAGAGGAGCCACGTTTCTCCTAACACTCCTTGTAGAGAGAAAAATAATGTTAGGGCTGAAGCAAAAATTCAGAGTTTCAAAAGGGAACCAGCCAGAAAAAAAAAAAAAAAACCACCACAGAAGGGCCGGGCCGGGCCCTTGTTCTAGATAAGATTGGCAGGTGGGCATTTCCACTGATCACAATGACTATGAATGCACTATCACAGAGTGATTGAACGTAAAGCCCTGAGGAAACCCCCAAAGACATGCCCCAGCCACAAGCATGTTACCTTCTGTAACAGATCTATAGATCCTGGAGCGCAGCCTTTAAGGCTCATAGGTAAAGATTTAGCTGAATTTAAACATTTTACTGGGCAGCCACGTGCCAGACACTATGTCTGCCTCAGCAGGGGTGCAAGACACAGTCCTCAACCAGACAGAACAGAGAGACCAGGTTCTTCATTTGCCAGCCTTCCCCCAAATCATTCATTACCTCTCTATGGGTCCTTCTAGAAGCCAATTAACATACACAGCTCCTATTTTCACATTATCCTAATTCAGTCTTAAATGTCCTAATCTAGAATGTTTCTATTACCTTGGTCCACTGTTCCTGGAAGTGAGTGGTACTCTTGAGCCTGGGGACAAGTCAAAGCAGAAGTGAGAAAGGTGTGTGAATGCTGAGTGGATATTTTTCCAAGCCTAGTGCTTCAGCAGGGACAGGCTTTACATATATAATACTGTCCCCAAATGCATGGCTTCTTTTCCTGACCTGATCAGGCCCTGCAAAGCCCTCTGATCAATGTGGGGGACATTTATGTGCCTCTGAGTCTGCAGCATTTGAGTTTAGGAGACAGGTAGCCCACTGCAAGCATGCCTACCCAGCTATCTTTGAGGCTAGGTGTGCCCTGCAGGGCTGGAGAAATTAAAAATGACAAAGTGAAAGCTGTTGTTGTTTGGGTTGAGGAGGTCCATTCAAGCAAGGACAATTAGTGCAAAGGAAGTAGTCCAGATTTGGAACTGTAGGTCCAAAGTCAAACCCTGGGTTGATCACTGGACCCTGGGCAAGTTCCTGAGCATCTCCCAGTTTCAGTTTCCTCATCTATGAAATGTAATAGCTTCCTGGCTGCATTGTTGAGAAAAACAAGTGAGGCCTTGCATGTAAATCACCTGGTACTGAGCATGCTTTGCAGCTATTTAGTCTTTGTTATTATTGTCCTATCTTCTTTTCAGACTTTCCAATTCTCCATTTGGCCTTTCCACAAAGATCTTCCCTCTATCACTGGAAAGGTAATGATCATTCTTCCTAAAACAGGTCTGTAGATCGCTTCAACTTCCATCCAGTGCCCCTCAAATCCATAGGGCTCCTTCGTAAGGCCTGGGCCCTGACTTACGGGGTCATCACTTCCCCTCAGCCATTCTACATGCATACCTTGGAAACTTCATCCTTTATTCGAATATACCCCACCTGGGGTTTTCCTCTGGATTTCACAATCATATCGTTTTTTATTTGAAAGGGTCTAGTTGGTTTCCTTATTGTAACATGTGAAATTACCCACCCATCAGAGCACAGGAGAATTAATTCACATTCAACTTAGTTTTCAAGTTCCTTGTAATCAGCAGTCAAAATATACGAATAAGATAGGCTAAATTGAAAAGTCCTGCTATCAGAATATTTGGAATAGTATTTCCCAAACTTGAGTCATTCTAGCTACTATGACCACTTCATATCCTTGTAAAATGTGTTCTATTCTTTATACAATGTTTTTCTCTTAAATTTATTTAAATAAATTTATTTTAAAAGGAATCTTTATGTTAATAATTTTTTTTTAAAAAAGCAGTATCACTTGCCACAAATAAAGGATGCGTAAAATTAACACATCACACCGGACTTTGGAATCACACAGACCTGCGTTCAAACCCTAGCTCCACCAGTTAATGCCTGTGTGTTCTTGGGGAAGTTACTTAACTTCTCTGAACATTAGTTTCCTCACAGAAATGATACTAAATATCTCATAAGCTTCTTGTGAGGATTAAATAGGATGACATAGTGCCTAGTACAGATTCTGGCATATAGTATTTTCTTGAAAAAAAAGTTGCTTTATTGTTTTATCTTTTCCATATCCCATCTCTCTTTCAGTTTCTTCTTAAATCAACCTCCCCCAATGCTGTAAGCCAGGCAGCAGAAATCAAGGATAGTATGGTGTCATGAAATTCTCTTACTCTATGACTTAGAGTTACAAAGCTGTTTAAGGGACTTGAGAAGTCATTCTAGTCTCTCACTCAAACAAGGACCCTGTCGATGTTATCTCTGATAGATGGAAGTCAGATCTTTGCTTTCTCACTTATATTGGAAACTCACTATCTGATAAGACAGTTATAAGAGAAAGGTCTTCTTTGTCATAATCCCAAATCTCCCACCCCTCACTCCCAGCCCCATAAGTACCATCTAGTTGTCCCTGTCCTGTTTTCTGGAGCTACAAGAATATATATTATTTTTACCCCTTTATATAAAACCCTCAAAAAGTTGAATGCAGATACTATAAATTTCCTTAGTAGTCTCTTCTCTCAGCTAAATATAATCACTGTCCTCAAATATTCCTCATATGATGTAGTCTCTAGACCTAGTCAACTTGGTGGCTTGCCCACTGGCACCCATCTCCCTGAGTTTGCTAGCATAATTTTTTGCAGCAAGGTCTCACAGCATGGAACCGGCAATGACAAGATCACTTTTAATGAGTCAGAGGTCAAATTAACCGGTAAACAGCTGCATTGGGAGGATGGCTGACCGTGACTTACTTTTTTTTTTACATGTCAAGTCACATCACCAATCCCTGGCCCCATCGTGTTTGTATGCCAGTGTTTGGGTCCCATCAAAATTACTCTGAATCCCATATATGTCATCCATTGTATTAGTCGTCCCTCCAAGCCTTGTGCTACTTGAAAATCTGATAAGGAGGCTTTACCCAAGGGTCATCAGAGCCAAGGACAAAGAGGGTGGTCAAATAGTGGTCAACAGTATCAAATGCTGAGAGGAGGTGGAATAGAATGAAGATCGGTTTCTCGTGTTTAGTAAGGAGGAAGTTGCTGGGAACCAGAAAGCTACTTTCTGTGTGGGGCAGCTTCCTCCAGTGTCTCACTCCCGGATGTTCTCAGGTCTGAGGCAGCCAAGGCTATAAGGAGAAGCAGCAGGAGAGGAGTGGCTATCGATGGTAGCTAGGTGGGGGAAACAGATACCTTCCTGATGTCCTTGCTCGACATTGCCCAAGAGAGGTTCCCCTGGGACCACAGAGTCAGGATGGACTCTGGGAGGCAAAACTAGAAAACTGTAGGTATTTTGGAAACATCTAACTACTCAGGTGAATTTTCAATTCCGCCATATATTTGTTGCTATCTATAAATGGCTTCCTGTGGCCAGTGGTCAAGGGCCAGTCTAAAAGTATTCCAAGTAGTGGTGTCTCAATACAGGATAAAATAGTTTCCACAAATAATTGTAGCAGCATTATTTCTTGAAATGTTAATTAGTGTTTGTTTTCTGAGCTTTCTTGACACAGGGATTTTTGTAGGGGAGAAAGCAGAAGAAACCTAAAGTCAAAGGCACTGCTAGACTCTTATGAGAGCCCATGGAAGAGACAATACAAGAGCCTTAAAAGATAAGGGAAAAAAGGCAGAGTGCTTTTGAGATGCAACAGTAAAGAAGGGGAGAGCAGAGTTGTGTGGGTCCTGTGAGCAGTGGGACCCAGGCACAGCTTCTCAGTGCTCCCAAGGGCTAACAACCTCAAGGGTGAAAGTGCATGCCTAAAGAGGGGGTGCCCTGGGCTCAGGGGGCCCAGCCTCAGTAGATAATCTCACTCCCCACTGTGGCATGGGGCAGAGAGCTGCCAGACTTCACAGACTACTATGGGATAGATAGTGGGGTTGCCAACGACTATCAGGACAGACTAGGGACTTCAGGCCCTTCCACCACTTTCTTGGCACCAGGTAAGCTTCCTAAATTCAGACTGGGCTGTAGGAGGGGAAAGGCACTCCTATAGGATCAAGATAGAGCCTCCTGTCCAACTG